GGTACACGCCACGGTCCTGGAGAAGAAGGGGCAAGGGGTAGACGCTGAGTCACTGAACCAGTGGAGCTGAAGTTGGGGGATGCAAAGCTGTGTCAAGACAGGGAAGGTGCAAAGCTCAAGCTGAGACCCCTAGGGAAAGAAGGAAGAAAGGCACAAGTACTAACCCTCCCACTCTCACCTGGGCAGGTCCCCCCTGGTGTGTGGGCTGCTTGGCCCCAAAGGTCTGGGCATGCTTGCTCATCCTCTCCTTCTTGGCCTCCACTGCTGCATAGTACCTGGGACACAGGGAGGAATGGTGGTCACACCCAGCCGGGGCCCCAGCCTTTACCTTCCTCAATCTCTGGGCTTACCCCTTTGTGTGGAAGGCTCCTCGGGAGTCCAGCAGCAGGAAGAGCTCCCCCTGGGTCTTGGGGCTGTTCCCTGTGAAGAGGTAATGCTCCAGGGGGACAGGTCGGGCAACCGTGCTGATCACGTAGATCTGGCGACGCTTCAGTCGCCTGGGCAGGGGAGTGGAGGCAGGGAGAGAACAGGTCAGGGGTAGGAGGGTAGGATGGAAGCTACATCCCCACACTCTGCCCTGTCCCCTCCGACTTCACCTAATCTCTCTTGGGAGCCAGACTTGAGGGCTTCCCCCTGCCATGCCATCTCTCAAAAGAGAAAGTGATCTGGGCCTAAATGGGATCTCCCACTAGCCATGTCAGACAGGTTCCCCTGCTGCTATCTTCCCACCCTGAAACTTAACCACTCTCTTGGCTGTGGTCGTCTTAATGCCCCGATGCAAGAAATAATGCATCCCCCCCACCCCCACCACCCACCAAAGAACCCTAGGATACAAAGTTTACCCAATCCAATCAGCAAATTCCAGGGCATTGGGGACAGTGGCACTCAGCAGGATGATGGAGACATGGTCAGGAAGCATGATAAGCACCTCCTCCCACACGACCCCACGCTGGGCACAGAGAAGGAAGATGGGTCACTGGCACTCAAAGAGGGCTGCCCTTCTTCCCCTATCTGCACAGGTTCCACATGCAGGGAAAGAAGGCAATAAGGTCCACAGGTGTGTGGAACAGAGGAGTCACTGAACCATTCCCACAGGAGAGGGCTGCCAGGGTCTAGGGCTACCATTCCCCTTACCTCAGCGTCATTGATGTAATGAACCTCATCAAAGATGACCCACTCCAGGTCCCGGATGACATCTGAGCCACTGTACAGCATGGAGCTGGGGAGAAGCAGCCAAGGCTGACTCCCCAGTGGCTCTTCTCCTCAGCCAACATACTCTCCAGAGCAGCCTTGTCTTCCTAGGACCCCACCCAACCCAAAGTCCACCCTTGCTGAATGCCATCTCACCGAAGGATCTCTGTTGTCATGATGAGACAGGATGCCTCTGGGTGCAGCTGTACATCCCCAGTGAGCAGCCCCACATCCCCAAATGTGTTCCGGAAGTCTCGGAACTTCTGGTTGCTCAGGGCCTTGATGGGCGAAGTGTAGATGGTGCTGGGAAGAGGCATAGAGTTAGCCAGTCCCTCCACACAGAGCCTCCTCACCTACCTGAGCCTGCCTGGAACCATGCCCCAGAGCTCAGGTGCCCCCTACTTCACCCCAAATGCCCTTATGTTCTCCTTCACAATACGGTCCCAGAGTCATCTTGCCCTCCAACCTCTTACTAAATGAACATAAGTCATTCTTCCAATCTCTCTCCCCACCCATACTTTCTTTGTTTCTCTCCATGCCCCTGTCTATGTCACCCCCATCCCCATCCCACCCCCAATCTCTTATTTAAAACACAAGCTAGAAAGATGAAGAAAAAAAACGATACTTAGAAAGGACACAAGAGAAAACAGGACTAGGAGGTACATGGGAACTGGGAGAGCCTGTACCGTGTCATGTGTTTCTGGGCCAGGGCAATGGCATATTCAGCCACAACTGTCTTCCCTGCAGATGTGTGAGCCGCAACAAAAACAGAGTTGTGCTGTTCCAAGTGCAGGATGGCCTGTTTCTGAAACACATCTGGCTCGAATGCCCACTGTGAGAGAGAGAGAGAGAGAAATGGGGGCTGAAGAAGGGAAAGGGAACTTCCTGCCAGCCGCTCATGGGTGTGTAGAGTGGGGCAAAGAGGCCAGAGAGAGCCTGGGCCTGAAGTCCAAGCCTGGCCTGTAAGGTGGAGGCAGGAAACAAGGCGTGGGGCTAGAGGCAGGACCAGCATCTGATCTACCACACGGTGGAAGAGCAAATGAGACCAGGGGCCACACTACCTGGAAAGCTGGTTGGGGGATGAGGCGATAGAAATCTCCAACAGGGGAAGTTACATCCACAGGAATGGCCCACTGCTCCTGAGGTGGGGGCTTGGGAGCCTCTGGGGAAGATACAGCTGTGGATGCTTCCTGGAAAAGCCGTGGGTGAGCATAATAAAGATGCAAGCAGAGCGCTCTCCATTCCCACTCCTCCCCAAAGATGTTCTGTCGGCCCCTGTGATTAACCCAAGCCAGCTCACCCTCCCGATGGCAAAATCCTTCCTTTCCCTCCTCCACTGTCCAGAACCACCAACCTTTAACACCAAGTCCTCTAGGCTGCTTGCTCGAACTAGGGAAGCACTACAGGGAGACACTGAAACAGTGTCCCCCTTGGTACCTCCTGGCTGTCCTACTGCCTCACTCTCATCCTCATCGCCCCCACCCAAATCTAGGGGCTCCAACAGACGGCTGAGGCTGAGCAACCCAGGAGCTGGAGTTGAGTGATCTGAGGACCAAAGAGAAAGGGAGACTGTCATGTCTATCTCCATTCCATGGCAGAAAGGCACCACTTCTTCTATGCCCCCATCTCAAAACTAAAACTCACTCTTCGGTGCAAAGTCTATGCCTTTCTTGAAGCCAGGTGGAACAGTAAGCAGATCTGGAGGACAGGCAGAGAAGAACAGAATCAGGGCCAGCGTACACTGTTATACAAGTTGCATACTGCACAAACCTAAGGGATCCACTCACAGCACAGATGTCACTGACAGGGATGGTTTTCCAACAGATAATGGTGAAGACTGTAGTAGTAGAGGGACCATTTCCTAATTTGCTCAAAGGCACAAAAAGGCCACCAGCAATTCAGTGATAGGCCTGGACCCCTCCTCCTCAGAGCAGATACTTGAGGCCCTATTTCCCAAGGATTGATTCTGGCACCACCTCACCTTTCTCAAAGTCTATCTCCTCCTCAGCCTCCTCCCGAGTGCTCATATCTGTTATAGTGGGCTCATCCATTCCACCTGGGGAAGAGGGTAAACAGGGATTCATGGAGTGGAGATGATTGGGGATGGGTGGGAAAACCTTCCCAGGAGAATAAGGACCCTTCTCCTACTGTCCTGTTCCCACATGAGTCACCTGGCCAGAAAGGGTACTGGGTTGGATTTCCCCATAGGGCCTGTGAGATGGGTGCTGGGGGACGGCGAAGGGACAAGGAGGTTGTGGCCGATAGGTTTGTGTTCTCCAGCAGTACCTGAGGCAAGAGATCAAAGCCCTAGTGAGGCTGAGTTTATTTAGACTCCCCTTTCCCCCAATTCTGCTTCTCGTGGCCCCCAGCCTCTTACCTCTTTATAACCCAGTATCTGGCCTGTGGTTGGGTGTCTTTGGGCTTGCAGGTCAGAAGGGACTGGGGCCCCAGGGGTGGCCAGGAGAGACCAGGGATCTGTCTTCCTCTGCCATTTGCTGGAGAGAATGAAAGTAATTTTCAGGTATTCTTTCTTTCAGGGAACCATCTCCCTGGTCCTGGCCCCTCTGGACTCCTCACCGGGCTGAGTGCTCCAGACCATGCAGAGGTAGCCAGGCTGGGGATGACAGAAACAACTGCTCTGCTTCTTGCTGCAGATCTGGGGCACAGGGAGGGAGCCCATGGGGAAGCTGGAACAAGAGTGCAACAAGAGGTGTTAGGTAAGAAAGGGGTAAGAAAGTGGAGACCGAAAAAAAAAAAAAAAAGACGGCAAGATTCTTGTTTAGATCAGCAGTAATGGAAGATGTCCCAGAAAACTGAGATAATGAGATTGAAGACACATTTTCCAAAAGTTGTCCAAAAAATACTTGTTACTGAATTACCTGGGGTGCTGGCTAATAATGCAGATTTTGGATTTCAGAATCTCTAGGGAGGACCTGGGAATTAGCATTTTTAAAAGCTTCTCCAGAGAAACTAGGACGAGAGCTGTTACGTTGTGGGGAATTGCAGTCAATGTCACGAAACAAAATGTGTATGAACTGCTGTATGGAAAATGAATTTGCTTTATAAACTCTGACCCAAATCACAATATAAATTTAAAAAACAAAAAGTTTCCCTAGTAGTCAAGAGACACACTGAAATCTCAGCGTCATTAGTTTTAAACAAAAGAGTCCTAGACCTAAAGAGGAAAAACCAAGGACCAAACACTAGCATGTCAGCCATTAACTGCCCTGGTACTTGCGAATGAAAAAGGAGACTCCACAAAGAAAAGATACATTGGAAAGAACAGTTCTTAGACTTAAGATTTCTGTTATGCTCTCTGCTCTGTCCTCACATGAGCTCTGACCCACTACAGGTCAACCCAGTCTATACAGCACCACATGGGGCCTGGGTGACAGGTGTCTAGGGACAGAAGGACAATGTCAGGTTAGATCCTACTGTGAGAAGGTGATAGTGGTTTTCTTCATTCAGGGTCAAAGATTAGAGTCTAAAGTCACTCACGGTGCTCTCTGGAGCCCCCGGCACGTTCACTAGCTCCCAGCGCCCGGTGCATCCCAGCTCCACGGCCCGAAGGGGCAGGTCAAGAGGACCTGGGGGAGGTAACACTAAAGAAAAAAAGGGGCAGAGGTCAGAGGTCAAGGGTCATTCCTTCTCTACTATTCTGTCCCACGTCCTCCTCCTCACCAAGTCTCTCGGTCTCTAACATCTTGGCACCACCACAGCTGCACCGCAAACCAAAAGCGCAGCGAGAAGCTGTGAAGTAAGTCCCGCCCCCGAATGGGCGGAAGTGGAGGCAACTTCCGGCACAACCACCGCCAGGGACGTGAAAGAACGCTACGCAGAGGCCTACCTGGAACGGTGGAAGGCCGGGCGGAAGTGTCTGAGCTTTCGGCCGCCTTGGTTACCGCGTTCTCCGCCCCTTTCTACGTCATCGCTCTGAGCCCGCTATCCGCGGCCCGCGCGGGCGCCGCTCGAGATTAAGGGCCCCCGGGTTGCCGCCCCCTCAGGTAAGGCCTGTTCTTCCTTACCCTTCGCCCCATTTTTCCAGGTCCCTTCTCTCTTTGTCCCTTTTTCGTTGCTCTGAGAGCGTCTTGCGGGTTCCACCTTCTCCTCTGCCGTTCGCACCCCACTGCTGCCATACTAACCCCAGCGGGGTTGGGGGGGGTTCGAGTGCCATCGTCATGGCGACGGAGGGGGTGTATCTATCTCCCGGGGCCACGTGGTGCCCCAAAGCTCAAGTGTCTGTAATCCTTGAAGAAAGGAGAGAATGCCGGTCTATGGGGGGGGGGAGGGGAGGAGTTGGACCGCAACCTGGTTTAAGCAAGAGTTAGAGAGAGGCCGAAGGCAGGAATGGGGAGGTCCAGAGGGGTAGGGTTGGGTGCACTGTGGACGGCGTGTGAACCTGTGTAGTGACATTGAGCCCTGTCCCTGAACCAGGAGCCACCATGTTGGTGATACCCACTGGACTGAGCGAGGAGGAGGAGGCTCTGCAGAAGAAATTCAACAAACTGAAGAAAAAGGTGAGAAAGTGTGTGTGGCATGGCGCATCTTTTGGACTGCAGTCTGAGGAACACCTAGTGTGAGGAGGTGATAGCTTCTCTGGGTCAGACCTGGAGACTTAACACCTCTTAGTATAGCTCCAAGAAGAGGGCATTCCCAGATACATCTTTTCTCTTCTCTACTATCTACCATGGAGTCATCTTTTCTGTTGATTTTTAGCACTGCCTAAGAGCTGGTGATCCCTAAGCTTGGTTTTTCTGGTTTCATTTAGTGCTTTACTAATAACTTCTAGTTTCCCAGAGTTGAAGCTATCATCTTTCTGTCTATCTTATATTTCCTTTTCTTGACCTTCTAAATAGAACTCACTACAGTCAATTCTTCTGTGTGTTTGAACTCAAAATCCTATCTCTGACTTCTCCTGTATTTGCACAGCCAACCATTTGCCAAGTTGTGATTCTTCCTTTAAAGTAATTCCTGCCACTTAACTCTTTCTTGTGTATTCTCTATATTTAGTCTTTGGCAACACTCATCTAGATTGTTGTAGTGTTCTCAACAAGTTTTTTTAGTGTTTTCTGCAGAGGGAAAAGAAGCAAATTTCTTTACTCATATTGACGCATTGAAAATACAAAATCTATCCTTTTCTCCTCTTCAAAATCCATAGTGGCTTCATGTTTGTAAAACATAGCCCCAAAGCCTTAGCTTGACATCTGTTTCTAGGCAAACAGAATAATTCACCAGTCCCAAAACATGCATCCTCAAAGCCTTGTGGTACATCTTTGCTACTCTGTTTTTTTAATCTAAAATTCTCTCCTCTTTACCTGTGTTGTGTTGGTTCTGCTTAGAGCCTAGTTTAGTAGCCATTGAGCATCAGAAAACTTTACTTGCTCTAAGCTGCAAATGATAGGCACTTCTTATGGACAATCCTGGCAATTCAGTCTAGTTCTTGTATTTCTCAGACTATAAGTTTCTTGAGGGAAGAGATCACATATTGTACATTTATATAGCCTTGTTACAGTATCACAGTGGATCCTCATTAAATCTTTGGGGTATGAAGGGACAAACCTTCTAAGAAGGACACATAGGCTAATACTTGCAGCTTATGTCCTGGGTCTCTAATCAATGAATGAGCTCTTTGTCTTCAACTTCAGAACTGAGATTTGGGGAAGCCTCTGGATGTCATAGTTTGGATAGATGAGGTACTACTGGCATTGTAGATGATCTGGCAAACCAGAGGCAGGGCTGCCTCTGTGGACTACTCCAGGGGATACCATTTGCATTATTTCCTCGAGAAGGATTTCCCCAGGAACTATGTGCCCAGGGACTTCAGGAGAGTACTTGGCCAGAGACTGGCCCTCACCAACTCCTCTCTTACCCTTGTTCCCAGAAAAAGGCATTGTTGGCTCTGAAGAAGCAAAGTAGCAGTAGCACAGCCAGCCAAGGTGGTGTCAAACGCTGTGAGTGATGGAGAGATGGGAATGGACTGGAAGTGGGCAGTATGGAGCTAATCTCTCTCACAGTTTGGCCAACACAATGCTTCCTTCCCCCACTCCTCCAGCACTGTCTGAGCAGCCTGTAGTGGACACAGCCACAGCAACAGAGCAGGCAAAGCAGCTGGTGAAATCAGGAGCCATCAGTGCCATCAAAGCCGAGACCAAGAACTCAGGCTTCAAACGTTCTCGAACCCTAGAGGGGAAGTTAAAGGTGAGCACAAGCAGAAAGATTGTTCAGGGGACCCTTGACTTCAGAAGTTATCTAAGTTGGAATGGAGGTGGGTTTAAGGAAAAATACTGCCCATTCAATCCTGGGCAAATTATTGTGCCATTTTGAGCTTTGGGTTCCTTATTTATAAACTAAAGAAACTGGATGGCCCTCAAATTCCCCTTCATTTTACATATTCTGTGGCTTTAATCCACCATGGGTGGATGGTGACTGCTGGAATATGTTGCTCTGTAGGTTTCAGCAAGCTGAAAGTTTGTCAGGTTCAAGAAATGTTTGTTTATGTGCTAAATACTTCAGATATATAGTGGGTTGTTTAGGTAACTACCACATAATAAAAACACAGCAAAATTAAAAATTAAGAAGGAGGAAACCAAGAAGAAGGTGAAGGAGAAAAGTGGAACTACTCTGTCTCATGGCTGGGTAGTCCCCTGCTCCCACTGAGGTAGGTTTCTACCACCTTCCCAGGACCCCGAGAAGGGGCCAGTCCCCACTTTTCAGCCGTTCCAGAGGAGCATCTCTGCTGACGACGATCTGCAGGAGGTAACAGTCGCCGTTTCTTTGTCCCTGGGAGCTAGGGATTGAGGAAGATGAGAGACCCATGTCAGCAACTAGGAATCATCCTAACTCTTCTTGGTCTCTTTTTCAGTCATCCAGACGTCCCCAGAGGAAATCTCTGTATGAGAGGTTAGAGAATACAGTCCCATTTGGCAAGGGGTAGAGAAGACGGGAATTGCTTGGGTCCTTGGGAGGTATGAGGCTGGAATGGGGAAGCCTCTGGATGTCGTAGTTTGGATAGATGAGGATAGATGGAATGAAGAGAGCCAGGGCCAAGTCTCCAGAGGGTTTGGAAGGAGATAAAGGTGCCCTTTGATCCTCACTGTCCACCTCGCCCCAGCTTTGTGTCTTCCAGTGACCGGCTTCGGGAACTGGGGCCAGAGGGGGAAGAGTCCGAGGCTCCAGGGGCTGGTGATGGCCCCCCTCGGAGCTTTGACTGGGGCTATGAAGAACGTGGTAGTGTCCGCTCCTCTGCTTCCCCTCCCCGGAGTCGCAGCCGGGATCGCAGTCATGAGCGGAACCGGGACAGAGACAGAGAGCGGGAGCGGGATCGAGACAGAGAGCGAGATCGAGACCGAGATCGGGATCGAGACAGAGAGCGGGACAGGGATCGAGATCGAGAGCGGGACCGGGATCGGGATCGAGACAGAGATCGGGATCGAGACCGTGAGGGTCCTTTCCGCAGTGAGTGATCTTGACTGGTGGGGAAGGGACCTCACCTAAAATTAGGTGGGTCCTGCTGAAGTGGACTTTTGAAGTAGAGGGTAGGATGGGTTATGTCTTCTGACTAATTGCTGATCCCGTAGGGTCAGACTCATTCCCTGAACGCCGGGCCCCTCGGAAAGGGAATACTCTGTATGTGTATGGAGAAGACATGACACCCACCCTCCTCCGTGGGGCCTTCTCTCCTTTTGGAAACATTATTGACCTCTCCATGGACCCACCCAGAAAGTAAGGATGGTATCGGGGAAGATGTTGAGTTCTGAGGGAAGAAGCCAGCCTCTCTTCAGTGGCCTGTGAGCACTGAGTTTGGTTGGGTCAGAAGAAGTCATAGCTCCTCTGCTGATCCTGTTATCTCTCATCCCAGCTGTGCCTTCGTCACCTATGAAAAGATGGAGTCGGCAGATCAAGCCGTTGCTGAGGTTGGAACTTTGTAGATCTGTTCTTTCAACCCTCCTGCCATCTTTGTGTTTCCTCCTTAAAATACTGGGAGCCAGGAGGAAATTGGTTTCTCCTGACAGAGAAAGCCCCTTCCTATTCACGCAGTAAACGTCCAATAACATCTCAGATTCCCTACTCAGTCTACTTCTTGGATAGCAACCCCTGGAAGCCCTCCTTTGGTTTGTAATACTTCCTCTATCCCGTTTTCTTTTTTGCCCCAGCTTAATGGGACCCAGGTGGAGTCCGTACAGCTCAAAGTCAACATTGCCCGTAAACAGCCCATGCTGGATGCCGCCACTGGCAAGTCTGTCTGGGGTTCCCTTGGTAAGAATGGGATTCTTCCTTTCTCATCCTTTCTCTTCCCTACAACTCACCCCTTTTTGTTGCCCGTGTGTGTCGGGGTTCCCTGGAAGTGATTGAGGTCTGGATTTGTGTGGAGGTAGCAGGAAGGAGAGTTGTCAGGCTCTCCATCAGAGGTGGAGAAGGAGAGCAAAGGATTCCAGGTGACTCCTAAGGAGACGACTGGAACAGGGAAGAAAGTGGGAGCCAGGGTGAGGTCCGTAAGGAAGATGAATCTCTCACATGACCTTGTTCACTTTGAGATAGAGTACAGTGATACTGTAAGCGTTTAAGACTGGGAATCAGAAACATAGTTTTGAGATGAGAAATGAAAACATACGTAAGGGTTATCTATATCAAAGGGTAGCCACAAATTGATCATGTCAGTGGGAGGCTGGTTTTAGAGGGGGAGAAAAAGACTTTGAACTGGGCTTGGGGAATAATATATTAGGGGTTGTCTTCCTCATACCACACATGCCCGCAGCCTAGCTGACATGGTGGAGGACATAGCAAAGGAAACAAAGTGAAGGGTCAGAGGACTAGGCAGGGAGCAGTATGAGTGGGGCCTGGGCCACTGAAGCTGACGGACACAGCTTTGAGAAGGAGGGAATGGTCAGCAGTGCTAAGGTACAAAGTTCAAAGAACAGACACTACGCCAGGGGAGGAAGGGGGCAGGCAGTGGTATTCACTCTAGCTCTAGAGTGGTGGGGATGGAATCCTTAGAGATAGGGTGAAAAGGGGGACATACGAGGTACAGGAGGAAAGGGGAAGAAACAGCTAGAGACTCAAGAGAGAATGCTTAGAGCCAAAGCTGCACCCTAAATGAGTTCCTTGATGGGGCTGGGGACATTTTTCTGTGTGAAATAACCTAACAGGATCTCTTTGACTGAATATGGATTTCTCCTAAAAGGGTAGATGGAAGCAGGGTTCAGGGTAAGAGTGGCTCGCCAGATGAAAGAAACCAGAATTGAGCCAAACATTTGACAAAGGGCTACCAAGGTTTTCTGATTTTTAATTTTTCATATACTAAAAATAGTGAATTCATATCATTCACATGTCTCAACAGTTATAACATTTTGGGTTTTTCAAAGCACAAAGCATTCATCATACTATTCACTGTCCCGCAATAACATCTTAAAACTCCTTGTTGAGCGATGAGTTGGCCGCCACTGGCCCCAGAGGGCTCCAGGGAGACAGGGCAGTTCTGGCCACCAGAGGGCAGCATAAAAACTGGGCTTCTAAGGGTCAGCAGCAGAGGGTGAGGTAGTCGGGTTCTAGGCCTCAGGTGTGGCAGATGATCTCCTTCAGACTTTAATTGTGCTCTCCTCTCTCCCTAGCTGTCCAGAACAGCCCTAAGGGTTGCCACCGGGACAAGAGGACCCAGATTGTCTACAGTGAGGACATCTACAAGGAGAACCTTGTGGATGGTTTCTAGGGAGCAGAGCTGGATTCCTTGTGCCTCATATGCCCCTAATGCCGGTCTCAGTAAAACACTGAGGTGGAAGCTCCCTCAGGCTCTGATTTTTCAGCATTTGGGATGGGGGATAAGCCTTTAAAAACGGCTGTCAGGTTTCATTTCAATTGTAACAACACAGTTAGTGCACATTCCCCACTCTTGCCCCAAAAGGATGTGGAACACAGATATTGTCATAGCTATTTTAATTGTATCCATTACCCCTTTCCAGCAGGAAACCCCTTATAGAAAATCCAGGCCCTCATCTTTCAGTTTCTCCTTGAGCCAGGGCAGCACTTGGAAGAGGTTGATGTGAAAGTCACGGGCGTAGGCAGGTATCTGCTGTTGCTGAGCTCGTCTGTGCCCTTGTGGCTGATCTATGCAGACATCCACTACACCCCAGCTAATCACACCAACCTGGAGAGGGGAATAGGGTACCATGGGTCATGTGGTAGCATTCCTTCCTAACCTCAGGAAGCATGGCTACTCCCAGGTGCATCTGAGCTGACCTGAAAGAATTAGACTAGGTAAACAGCTTAGTCTTGTCCTTCCTTACTGGGCCTTCCTCTTAAGAGCAGGATTTTTCCTTCCTCATTCTCTTCCTTACAACTCGCCCTTTTTTGTACCCATGCATGTCCCTGGGTTCCCTGACACAGGCCAGACACATGGTACTGAAGCAGCTAGTCCAAGGACTGGTCCTAAGGTGCAGGCACTGTGCTCCTACCCCAAGCCTCATGCATTGAACTTCCCTGATTTGGGGGCCCGTGATGACCACTTGGCTTCTCACAAATAGGGGAAACTCACTTGAATGAAGCGACTCTTCTTGTGAATAATCAGGGGGCCACCGGAATCACCTATAAGAAAGATGCTGTAGGGAGAAGGACTCGGCCTCAGGAACTTGGAGCACAACTAAAGGGCCTTCTCTCACCTTTGCAAGTGTTGGGGTCAGCATAGGGATCCACCCCTCCAGTGCAAAGGAACCTGGGGGTGACCACCTCAGAGATGTCTTTTACTTTGCTGTAACCTTTAGCCTTTTGAGCATCTCTCTCACAGCTGGCTTTCTATAGGTGAGGGGGAAAAGAGGGAGAAGGGAAGTGATAAGCAGAGCTGGGCTTAGGAAGTTCTGAAGCCTAGAGGACCTCCTTAGGATCCCACACTTCTCACCTTATCACCATTCTTGATGTAGACCTCCTTCCGAGCCAGCATCTTCTTCTCCTTCTGAAGCACCTCAGACACAAACAAAGCTTTGACGTTCTTCGCAGGGAGCAGCTCTTCCTCTGGACAAGTGAACACTGTGGGTCACCTCAAGCCCCCACCCCTACCATTTCCACATTGCTTTTATCACTCGGCAATATCCCTAAAGAAGTCCCCCCAGGGACAGTGTGGGCACCATCTGCTACTGTAGCTTCTGCATGCCCCATCCCAGAAACATCCTCGATCCCCTCTCCCTGAACACGTCTTACTGTGTTGCTGGCAAGTGGCTGACTGAGGGAGCCTCAGAGCACGAGTTGTTGCCTCAGTGCAGGGCAGACAGATGGGCCTGTTGAGGAGAGATGGAGAACTAAGGCTGCTGGCCCCAGAATCGTAGTCCCACTTTTCCAAGCCTTTTCTCTTTAGGAATCCAGATGTTCTCACCTGAGAGTCTGGCTATACGTTAGCTTCTTGTTGAGCTTGATCAGGGCTACATCATAGTCATAAAATTCAGGAATTCCTTTGGCTTTTTTTCCATTGATGTTGTAGTTGGGATGAACTAGGACTTCTGATGCCCCCAACTCCTCCTTCTTCCCTGCTGAGGTAGGAGAAGAGTGGGGACCCCTGAATTACCCACTTCTCTAGGAAACCTGCCTCTGGCCCCATCTCACCCTGACTTCAAGGCTTCCCCATCCCTTGCTGATATGGGTACAAGGGAGGGAAATACATTAAGTGTGGGCTCTTGAGGACACAGCTTGAACTCGGGCTCCATTTATTACATCCTTACTTTCGTCCTTAGCCACGCTGACCTTGATGGAGTGTAACTCGTCCTCCACAGTGAAGCAGTGTGCTGCCGTCAGCACATAGTACTCAGACACCACAGCTCCCATACAGGTCTCTAGTCCCTTCCCAGGACGCTGGGAACAACAATGGAGGGAAAAGCTCAGCTTGCACAAACATCGCACTCTAGGATGAACGTTGTGCCCTGTGCCTTTCCCTACCATACCCCCATTTCATCCTGACCTCACCTCCCGCAAGTCCCCACGCTAGAATGCTATGCTTACTGTGACTGAGATCTTGACCTGCCACGGTTGCCTGTGGAAGTCCGTAGCTTTCCTGTGCTCCCAGACCATGCCACACAGACCCAGAGACTTGCTTTCATCTGGCAGAAGGAGAACATGCTGATAATAGGGACACTTCATTCACAAATGGCAGCAGCCTTTTGGGAAGGAATACATATCTATGGGGAGAAAACCTAGGAACATTTTTTATTCATGTTAGGAGGCAAGGAACCATTGTGGTATGAAAAGAAACTAAGATCAGAGACCTGGCTGTTACCAGGCCCAACTCTGTCAGTGCTTGGTGACCCTTGACCTCAGCCTAGATTTCCATACCTGTTAAATGAGGTACTTGAGAAATCTCTGAAGTTGCCCAGAGCTCTGTGATTCTTAGATGGGGAGATGGGAAAGTGCCAGGAAAGAATAGTGACTCAGAGGAAGGGAAGGAAGGCTTTCCAGAGGTCCCCAGGGAGAGGAGGAATGAGTGGCCTCAGGACCTGGGGAGAGCTGAGTTTCCTGACAGTCTTATGCCTTTCTGGTAACTTCCTACCAATCATTTGGTAGAAAACATCCTCCAGGTGGTCCATGTCCTTGACTTTGAACACATGTTGCTCTTTATCCTTCTTGGAAGCCAAAGCATTGATGTTTGCTTGGTCCACCAAGGGGCCAATCCCAAATACGTAGATGTCTGAGGGAGCAAGAGGAGGGTGAGAGAGAATATATGAAGGGGGGTTGGGGGAGGGCAAGACCCTGGAAGGCACGAGCTGAGTAAACAAGGTGCTGGATTCTGGGCAGGTCTCTCACCCAGATAATCCTCCCTTGGGTTTTTGCGGTCCCTGCCAATGTCCAGCAAGTCCCGGATCTCATCAATGACAGTGACTGGGTTCCCGCCCATATTGTGCAAACCTGAAGAAAAGAAATGGGGACCATAAGGGTGGGAGGTGAAGAAAGATGGTCAAGGGAAACTAGTTTGCTATAGGCAGTGACATGTGCATGGCTGGGTTGGGCAGACGGAGGCAACAGAGGGCTGTGGGGAAAAGGGACCCTTGCTATAAAAGGTCACAGGAGAGCTCAACAACCAGATAAAAGTAACATTCAGGGCCACATCCATGATTCTGGTGTAGAAACATGAACATGGACTTAAGGGGCACATGCTGGAGTGATAAAATGGGGAGTCTAGGGCAGGAAAGAGATCCCATCTAACCATCCGTCATGAGAATGATGACATGGCGGGTACGGTTCCAGCCTTCAGGAGGGGAAACCCCTGGCCAACTCATCATGCTGTACACTGTCTGGAGGGCCCTCTTGGTGTTGGTCCCTGTCTTCAACTTGTGGTCTGTGGAAAGAGAAAAGGTCATCACCTTACTTGGTCTTCCAAGCCATCCTTGAGTCACAGAGGCCTAGGAACCTCTGGGATCCCACATCTTTCAACTTTTTTAGTTTGTAGTCACCCCATTGATTTCCCTTTGACACAAAGTGGTCCTCTCAGCCCCTAACAGATTCCCACTAGCTCCCATTCCCCCACTGACCCTGCTGTTCTCCCTTTGATGATAGAATGGTCCTCCCTGGCCCCACATGGGCATGCTACCCATCCTCACCACATTCCTGAGAGCTCTGACTTCTGACCCCAAAGTGAACCTCCCATCATTCTTCCCTAATATCTGACCTTCATAGCTGATTTGATTGAGCTTCTCGAGGACATAGTCCGCATCACTGCTGTGTTGATCACCCACTCTGACCACAACACTGGGCTCTGTGGCATATGTCACTATAGCATATTTTGGCTTCACCCCATAACTTGCCACCTGTGGGTGAGATTAGCAAGGGGTCATGGGCAATGAAATGAGAATACTATGATTAGGATAAATCAGCAGCTTTTGCTGCCACAAGAATTGTCATAGCAAGAGGCTCAAGGGCTGGCTAGTCACCGTGAGGTTCACAGAGGAGTTTGTGTTAAAGGTCATAAAACCATTTCAAGTAAAAGGAAAGGAGGACCTGGGAATTTTCTGTAGTTCAGAGAGCCTGGGACACCAGGGAACTATCTCTGAAAGGATAGTGAGGCTCTTTCAAGGTCACACTTTGGAAGGAATACTTGATAATCTACTGAAAAGTCAGTCATGAGTCAGTCAACTTGGTGGCAAATGGTTCTTGACTACATGGGGAAGAGAAAGTCCCACCTTCTCGATGAGGCTACTGAGACATCTCTTGGCTCCTGTGAAGTTTCTGGTTCCAATGCTGTCTGATCCATCCAGCACCAAGTAGATGTTCATGGAGCCCGAGGAATCCAGGACAATCTTCCGCTTCTGTTGTTCTCCTAGGTGTGCCCAGAAAGGGTCAGCTTCAGCATGCCCAGTTCTGCCCCTTCACCATCCTCCTCCAGTTCCCACCCCTGCCTCCCCTCTCTGCCTTCAAACCTGGGCTGTGCCCATCCTCTGCATCAGCTCCTTCTATGGTCTCTGTGAGGGAAGACAGGAAGGCCTCAGCTACTTCTTCAGGAGTGTCATACATGAAGGAGTCTGAGGAGAGGTCAGAAATCAAATCAAATACCTGGGAGGGTCAGAGACACAGAAACTAGAGAGGGGATAGTGAGTTTCAAGGGTGGGAAATGTTAAAAAGTGAGAAAAGCTCTATGGAGACTTTGGGAAGAGGGGAGAAAGTAGCTGATTCGAGGTAAGAGGAGAAGACAGTGCCTTAGCATGGGGACATTAGGACAGGAGAACAGAATCTGATCTGGGGACATGGGTCAAGAGTAACCTTGGCAAGAAGGCTCAGTTCCACTCCAAAAGCCACCTTCCAGGCATGTTCGCTGCTCTGAGCCACGCAGAGTGAGACCCCGGTTGCATTGGTAGGTGATACTATCTCCCAGGCGATACTGGGTGCCTACCTTCCTTGTGCCAATGGGGATGCCAGGGTTGGGGCAGTAGCCCGCTGTAGAGAAACAAGACATGGAGGTGAGAGCCAAAGCCTGAGGCCTAAAGAGCAAGTGTTTGGGTGCTAATTCCTCAGGCTGGAGAGGTATCAGAGAGAGAGAGTAATGTTGTAAAGAAAGGGGACCCTTCTCACCTCCATTGTCACAGATGGCTGTTTGCCCATCCCACCGGCCAGTCGGTTGGCAGGTGCGATTGGCAGAGCCCTGGAGAGTGTAGCCATCATAGCATTGGAAAGAGATTTCATCACTCAAATTGTAGTAGGGGGCCCGAGGCAAGAACTCCCCATTCTCAAAGTCCTGTGGTCTTGGGCAATGAATAGCTTTGGAGAGGGGGAAAGTAGAAGTCACCAATATAGAAGGGTTACCCTTTAGGGTGTCCCTCCTGGTCTCAGGGTCCCTATCACTTAGAAACTGTGCTTTCCTAATCCATCAGGAGCAGTGCCAATCCCCCTCTATCCCTCAACCCATGGAGGATCCAGCTCCTCCATCTCCACTTCTGAGTGGTCCTTTAACTCTGAGGGTTGCCTGCCACAGGATAAGTGCTTAGCAAATGTTTGCTCTTCCTCCTGCTTCCTTCCCACCTGCCCTAGAACAGCTCCTACTCCGCCTGCCTGGTCTCAACACAATTCTAATCTCATCCAGTCCCAGCTTTGGTGGCCCTTTGCCCTGTCCCTCCCTGGGCTCACCCCACCCTCACACCCTCCAACCTCTGCACTCTGCCTTCTTGACAATCTTTTTGTCTCTGGTCTGCAGGGTGCTCCAGGACCCCGAGGATTTGCAGGCCCGCGTCTGCACAGGGTATGGGTAGAAGCCAGAGGGACACAGGTACTCCAGAGCCTGGCCCTCATGGAGGAGTTGGAAGGAGCCCCCAGTGATCTCTATCCCCTCCAGGGAGCAGGGGCTTTGGGGCTGGGCCTCAGGCAACAGAGTTGAGCTCACACCTGAAGAAAAAGGAGGAATTACATCTGGCCTGGTAAGGCCAAACCAATGCTGAGGAGAGATGCTGGGGCAGCAGGAGGGGGAGTTGACCTTCACTTACCTCCAGACAAAAGGCCCAGGACCAAGGGAACCAGGCAGAGTTGGGGACTGAGATTCCACCCCATGGTGATGGAAGACAGAAGAAGGTTGGGCTGGGGCAAGGTGGCCTATCCTAGCCCAGCGTCTGCTGAGGATCTGTTTGCTCAGTGTCTAAGCTGCAACTTCAGCCCTAGGCCTGGACACTCTCCCTTCCCTGCCCCTAGCAGCTCCCAGCCTTTTATGCAACATCCCTCTGGGACCTAGAGCTTACCCCACCTGCCCCACCCACACCACTTTCCGGAATGTCCAAGCGGGAGGGCCCCTGTTAAGCTGCCAGCCAAGAAAATAGAAACTGCACAAACCCCACCCTTTGTAGCCCAAACTCCAGAGTTCACCAATCAACACCCTCCTCAGCGCCTACAAGTCTCCAATCAACCCAAACCATCCCCTTAGGGACCAGAAATAAGCCCCACCCCCCACCCCACCCCCAGCTCACTCTCCCATGGACTGTGTGGATGGGGCAGAGTCCAGAGGCTATTTGTCCTGTAGGGTCTCTGACCTGCCTTCCCAAAGTTCCTGGAATCATCGCTCCTGCCCTGTCCGTCTCCCCCTGCTCCCCACAAGCCTGCCTAGCACCAAGGCAGAGAACAGGTGGATGTGGAAATCATTGACTTTTATTAATTTCATAACTGGGAAATTCCACCATGTGAAAGTGAAAGGAGAAGCAAGCCCATTACAAAGGAAGTAGGTATTTTTACACAGGATGGAGACCCAGGGTGAAGAAGCTGGCAAGAGCCCTAGGGAATTCCCTAGCTCAACTGCTTTGTCTGCTGGAATCTTGGAGGCCAGGGTGCAGAGCTAAGTGTGAGGCTGGGTCACGGGGCCTGGGTGGATGTTCAGGGTTAAGAAATGGGAGGGCTGGCAGATTGTTGCAGGATGGACAGTGGGGTGGGTGGCCATGATTAAAGGGGCAAGAATTTCAGGACCCCCTGCAGGTGCTGCCTTAGCCATGGCTGCAGGCGGAAGAGACTGATGTGGAAGTCTCTTGGTGGTGGCACTCTACCACGGGGGGCCTTTTTGCGTGAGTTTTTGTCGGAGTTAACACAGGGATTGTAGAGACCCCAGCTCACCAGTCCCACCTGGAGGAAGGCAGAGAAGAGGGTGAACTGTAGCCCAGCCCCAGCTCCAATCTCCCTGATTCTCTCAGAGGCCTCTCCCTTCCCACCACCCAAGACCAAGGTCCTATGACCCCACCCATCCGGGCTCCTTTCTTACCTGAAAAAACCTGGATTTCTGCTCAAGGAACACTGCTCCCCCAGATTCTCCTGCCAGCAAAGAGGGAAAGGAGATAGTGTCATCTTTGGCTCTCACCCAGACCCACTGTCATAGAGACAGTGCGGTGGTATCCTGGCATGAACACTGGCCACAGGGGCACTGATGGGACACAGGCGTGGAGGGAGGGGGACTCACCCTTGCAGGGGTTGTCATCTTTCTCAGTCCCACTGCAGAGGAACTGGTCTGTCACCACCTCTCTCACATCTATCAGGTTGGGGAACATGTTGTTGTCCTGAGAGACAGCCTTGATACAGTTTGTCCACTGCAGAAGGGGTGGAGTAGGAGAGAGAGATGGCACGAACAGACCTATGGCACCTACCAGGTGAGTTAGGTCTGGGAGAAGGGTGAGCCAGGGTCAGATGGAGGTGGCGGCCAGAGCTGGAGGAGGAAGAGAGATGTCCCAGGAAATGCACGAGGGGTGGGAACAGAGATCTCAAGTGACCCCAGGGCACTCCTGACCTGAGACCCTCACCTCTGTCCCTGTCTTGAGGTTAATGTTCAGTTTATTCCCATTCAAGGCGACAAAATGCGCAGGAACACTCTGTTTGTTAAGAAGTGCTCTCTCTGAAGACAAGGAAAAGAGGATGTTGGTGCCTTTACCAGAATCTAGACTCCTTCTGGGGCATTCCAGCCCCAGCCTAGGTTATCTTCTATCCTCTGGCCCAACTCTGCACACTACTCACCATGGTCCAGGCAGGTGCTGTTTTGGGGTCTCCGCAGAGCCAGATTGGCCTCCACTGTGCAGGGAAGGCAGATGGGCCTGGGGAGAGGGGTAAAGGTCTCATAGGCCGTCCTTGGTATACCCTCCTCTCAGTATCCCCAGAGCACTCATCCCCACGGCCCTCTTCCACCCTAGACTCTTAGCACCTGGCATGAGTAGACATCTTCACTTTCTGGGCCAGCTTCAGCAGGGCAATGTCATCACCATAGAACTCCAGGATTCCCTGGTTCTTCTTGGCAAAGACATCAAATCCCTTGGAGATCACTGCCTCTTCAATACGGAAGTCTTTGCCCCACACAGAGTTGGGGTCCCCTGGGAACAACATGACAGATCAGGCTGGACCACCTCCTGAAGGGCAACTGGTGGGGAACCTCAGGCTACAGAGTCAGAGCCTTGGTGCCACTCTGCCTTACCCACAAAGACTCTCCACAGAGAGAATTCGTCAGCATTGAGGAAGCAGTGAGCAGCTGTCAGGACCCACTGGTCTGAGATGAGGGCCCCCCGGCAGGTCTCCAGGCTCTTGGGCTGCAGGGGAACAGGAGATCCTCAGAGCCTGCTATGTGCCTGGTCCATGGCCACCCTCACCTCTGGGATCCCAACTTCACCCCTTCTTCCTGGTACCTTAATGGTGACATGCCAGGGTGTCCTCTCCTGGTCTGAGGCATTGGCTGACATGTTCCCCACCCCACAGATGGTGTCTGTGAGCTGGGTAACATCTGTCAGTGTGAGGAGGAGATGGAGAAAGAAGAAGGTGAAGGGCCCTGTGGCCAGGTTCCCAACCTGCCTGCCCCCTTTCCTCCCAGAGGGCTCCTGAGAGGGTGGAGCTCACTTACCAAGCATGTGCTCAAAGACCTGGCTCAGAGCTTTCGTGTCCTGCAGAATGAAGGCATGCCGCTCCCCATCCTTCTTGGACCCCAGCTCGTTCAGTTCTTTCCAGTCCACATCCAGCTTGCCTACCCCGATGGCATAGATGTCTGATGGAGAGGTGGGAAAGCATGGAATCCTGTGACTGAGGGGCTACCTGTGACACAGGGGACTTTGGTTTGGAATCTCCTATATCCTACAAAGCTCTACATGAGCTGGACATGCCCCTGCCCTATCTGACCTCATTTCCTACCATTCTCCACCCTTCACTCTTTTCCAGCCACATAGCACCCTTCAAACTCCTTAAGTTCATATGCACACCCACAGCTCAAGCTCTTTGCACCAGCTGAGCCTATGCCTGGTTCCCCAAGACCTCCACCTGCTGTACTCTCTTACTATTTTTTTTTCTTTTCCTTTGTGTGTGTAAGATAAAATTAAAAATATACACAACAAAATATTCTTCAGTTCAACAATTTCTGTATTACTGACAATGATTCTATTCTTCAAGTTATGTAACCCTTCTCCCTATTCTTTTCCAGATCATTCTACCACCATTGACATAAACTCAATGTCCCCTAAGCAAAAACTCCCCTTTCCCCTCACTGCCCCTGATAACCACTCATGATCTTTGGTTTCTGTATGCTTGCTTATTTCATATAAGTGAGATCATACAATATTTGTCATTTTGCAACTTATTTCACTCAGCATGATGTTTTCAACGTTCAACCATGTTATAACATGCATCAGAACTTCATTTCTCCTATGGTTGCATAATAATCCATTGTATGTATATACTACATTTTGTTTATTCATTCATTGGTTGATGGACATTTTGGTTGTTTCATATTCTCTTACCTTTCTAAGTCTTAACTCAAAGTCTAAAACTACAATGTCCCAGACTTCCATCCCCCTTCTTTTTTCCACCTTAGCATGTATCACTATCTAACATGCTATAAAATTCCCTTAGGGGTCAAATGTATGACCTCCATGGAGCAGGCATTTTTATCTGTTTGGTTCACAGCTATATCCTCAGTACTTAGAATAATGTGTAGCCCAGAGGTTCTCAGTAAGCACTTTTAACGAACTGAAGGAGTAAAAAGAACTCGTGAACACAGCAAAACAAACAAACAAACAAAAAACATTGCTGTTGAGTCCATTTTGATTCCCAGTGAAACTCTAGGGCAGAATGGAACTGCCCTATATAGGCTTTCCAAGGCTATAATCTTTATAGAAGCTGACTGACACATCATTCTCTTGTGGAGCAGCTAGTGAATTTGGACATTTCAGATAGCACCTGAGTTTTCAACCACTGTGCCACTAGGGCTCCATGAACATAGCATGTTGACAAAACTTCAGGCTGGTCTTCCTGTGAAGAATGTACAGTCTGGAAGAGGAGTCTAAAGTCATCTCTTTCCATTGGAGAACCTGGACCCAGGCCACTATCCATACCTGGCCTCTGAGCATGGGTACATACTGTCAGATTGCCCTCAGGTGGCCCACAGTCCATTCTTCTCCCACCTTTCACACTCCTTGTGGCCCATTTTTGCTCCTAGAGGGCCCTGTGTAAGGAATGAGTGCTCAGATGGATGATGAGAGAAGTTTTCAGTCAGGAAGCATATCTGGTAATAGCCAGGGACAACAGCTGTTACAGCAAGAGCTAGACAGTTATCATGCCCTGGGTTTTTTGTTTTGTTTTTACCATTTCTCTTCTATTTCCCACTTATTCATGCTTGTATGTGTGTGTTTTACTTGTGGTAAATATAAATGTAACAAAATATTTGCCATTTCAACAATTTTCACATGTATAGTTCAGTGATAAATTGTTCGTCATGTTATTCAACCATTATTACCCTATGCACTTCCAAACTTTTCCATCACCCTTAATGGAAACTCAATGTCCCATAAGCATTGAGTCCTCCCTTCTCCCTTCCTCCCTCTTGCCCCTAGTAACCACTAATAAACTTTTGCCTCTATGCACTTGCCCAATCTAGATAATTAATACAAGTACAGTTATATAATATCTGTCTTTGTGACTGACTTATTACACTGTTGTTGTTGTTGTTAGGTGCTGTCAAGTTGTCTCCGACTAATAGTGACTTCATGTACAGCAGAACAAAACACTGCCCGGTCCTGTGCCAGCCTCACGATCTTTGCTATATCTGAGCAGCCACTGTGTCAATCCACCTTGTTGAAGGCCTTCCCCTTTTTTGTTGTCCCTCCACCTTCCCAAGCATGCTATCCTTCTCCAGGGAATGGTCCCTTCTCACAACATGACCAAAGTAGGTGCAACAAAGTTTGGCCATTCTCGCTTCCAAGAAGCATTTTGGCTGCACTTCTTTCAAGACAGATTTGTTCGTGCTTTTAGCAGTCCATGGTACTTTCAGCATTCTTCACCAACACCACAACTCAAAAGCATCGACTCTCCTTCAGTCTTCCTTTTTCATTGTCCAGCTCTCACATGCATATGAGGCAATTGAAAATACCATGGCTCGTGTCAAGCGCACCTTAGTCTTCAAGGAAACATCTTTGCTCTTCAACACTTATTACACTACCATGATGTTTTCAAGGTACATCTATGTTGTGGCATATATCAGGATTTAATTTCTCTTTGTGGCTGAACAATATTCTGCTGTATGTATGTATCACATTTTATTTATCCATTCAACTATTGATAGACATTTAGATTGTTTCTACCATTTGGCTATTGGGTACATTGCTGCAATAAACATTGGTGAACAAGTATCTGTTCGTGTTTCTACTTTCACTTCTTTTGGGTATATACCTAGGAGTGGAATTGCTGAATCACATGGTAACTCTGTCTTAGTCTGGAAGCTCCACTTAAAACTGTCCACCATGGTGTAAAATGGTACAACCATTGTGGAAAGCAGTATGGCGATTCCTT